TGCCAGGGAAGGCTTAGGTTGGAAATTAGGAGAAATTTATTCTCAGAAAGTGCAGTCAGGCATCGGAACAGGTTGGCTGGGGAGGTGGTGGCATCACCGGCCCTGGGGGTGTTTAAGGAAAGGTTGGACGTGGTGCCTAGGAACATGGTTTAGTGGGTGATATTGGTGGTAGGGTGATGGTTGGACCAGATGATCTTGGAGGTCTTTCCCAACCTTTATGATTCTGTGATTTAGTTGTAATATAAGACATGCTTGTTGACTTCACCACCCCACCCCAGAGGACAGACTGCAAGTATTGGGAGAAATACGTTTTGAAAATGTTCATAAGCCAAATGTAACTTTGTACCCACAGGAGAAAGTTCAAAATAAACAAAAGAGAGATCAGCTGGAACACTTGTGGAAGGACATGGGCACCGTGTGTATGCAGGGCAACACACTTGCAGGTATTTTAACTAGCAATATTACGTTTATTGCAGAAGTTCTCTGAAGAGCCTGCCTTGAAAAGTAGCATGGTGCTTTTCTGTCTTCACTGTAAAAGCATAATAGCAACTTCATCTTAGTGGAGTGGGACGCCAGTTCCTGGGGATGGGTCAGACTTAGCTCTCCCATGTGTTAATCACACATGTGAGAAGAGGAAACCCTAGTGTGTAGGTAAAACAACGGGTATACTGTGAATAATCAAGTATTTTAGAAAAGGTGAAATAGTCAAAATGGACAATGAGAAAGCTCTGCTCTTGGCTGAGCTGTTACCTTATATGAGTTGTTCAGTATGGTGTTGATACAGCCTGTCCTGTATCTTTGGAACCTATAAGTAGCTTTCCGTCCCTTTAGAGTAGGTACTTGTTTTTGTTGTATGTAAATAGAAGTTGTCAGGGAGGGAGCTAACTTACTGTTAGTGTGCTGTTTTGTGTATAGCCATTTCTGTTCCTTCCAAGGGTCTGATGATGCTTCTGCAATGGGTCCCTCTGAGCTGATCCTAACACGAGGAACTCTTGATGAAGAAGAAGAAGAGAGGGAGAGTGATACTGATGACATTGACCATGAAGGTAAGGGAAGGAGAGATCTGTTCTGATCTAAAAGCTGCTTGTCTAGGCATGAAATATTATCTGTATTTCAATAGCTGTATTAGCTGTAACAAGAGCCTAGGAGACGAGCAAACGTTTGGTCATCTAAATACGTGTATGAATTTATAGCAGTAGCCCACCCGCACTGCTCAGTCCAGTGATTCCACACTGTATTCTTTGTGAAAGTTCAATTGTAAATTGTATATTCAAGTAATTATTTTTAATACAACAATACATAAAACAATATGTTTTTACCAGAGAACTTGTTATGTTTGGACCATGCATGCAGTGACCCCCTGAACCTGTTGAACGCACATTTCATCTTCTTTATGGTCCTCCCGTTCCCATCCCTGTCTTTCTTCCCTATTCCTGTCACTCTGTTCTTAAAACAATCTTTTAAGTTCTTAACAGTGTGTGATACTGTGTTTAGATAGTCTGTGAGCTATCTTCGTACTTACCCTGTTACATTCATATTTACCTTATTTACCATATTTACCATTACAAGATCACCTCTTTCCTCTCCCTTGTAATGAAATTGGAGACCAAGTAGACTTTGTGTCACTCTGACTAGCCTGACTCTAGCTTTCTTTAGGAACAGAAGTAGAATGAATGCTGAAATAGTGAACTGTGTTGTTTGTTTGTTTGTTTTCTCTCAGTTACTGAGGAGAGTCATGAAGAACCAGCCTTCAGAAATTTTATGCAAGAGACACGGGTGAAATACCAGAGAAGAAGCAATCAGAATGAATGAGACCCTCAGAAATAAAGGGTTTGGAATCCATTGAAATGGAATTAAAAGTAAAGAAACAGCATAAAGAAACTTGAATGGAACCATGCATGAAGTCTTACCTCTATGAACAGCTCCCTATGATACATTGATACTGTATCTATCTTTCTTCCTGCAGTAACTGTTGGTCATATGAGTAGAAGGTTTTATATCCAACTGACTGTATATTTGGTCATCTGCCACTGTGACTTCCTAAACCTGAAGGAAACGGATTGCACTTTCTTGTGTACCAAATTGTTTAGATATGTCTGGTGAGAGCTTAGATTTTGAGTTTTGAGAGCATTATAATCTTACTGGTTTCCAGAAGTGCAGTATGTTCACCTCATGCAGACAGGTGTGTGGTACATCCAGGACAGAAGCAGAACTTCCACAGCATGAAATGCCTGATATGTAAGTGTTCTTTTTTTTTCTGAGATAGTGATCTAAAGAGCAACTCTTGTGTTTTGTTCCCTGCCCCCCCCCCCCAGGTATTATGGTTTTGGAGATAAAAATGTAAGGTCTTTTAGAGAAGTAGACAAGCTTCATTTAGTCTATAAATAATTGAAAGCAAAGTAGTTTAATAATATTCCATCAACCTAGTGTTTGATACGTTATTTTTAATTAAATATATTTTATGAAGTAACAAATGTGTGATGGTTAATAGCAGTTTCCATTTCACCTTTCTAATGTGAGAAATTTTTTCTGCCCTTACAGCACTTAGAGCCCACCCATCTGGATGCACAGCAAATGCATCTTACTTGCATTAAATAGACACAATACAGATGACTCTTAAGAAAATACTGAGTAAATAAAATTCCCATGAGAACTGGCTTGATTCTCGGTAGACTAAGAACTGAAGCATGCATGGCTGTGTAATTGCTGTACATATCTGTATGTAACTTAAAACCAAGGGGTTTCTGTAGATGAGCGTTTCCATGACATGTAGATAAATACTTGGACATGGGCTAATACTTGTTTTCTTGATAGATACCAGTGGGGCACACGTGTTCTCTTGTTGTTTACCATTTGTAACTCTGGAATCTTTTCCTTTTTACTGTGGGCTTGCTAGAAGGAGATTTCTCAGTGAGGCTCTGGCAGCTGGATCTGCTAGTACAAGTTGTACAGGTTTGTGGAAAAATAATTTTTGTGAATTTTACAAGCACAGACGGGGCAGGAGGACACAGACAACCAGCTGTTAAGTGCCACCTCTGATATGGTTACTGCTTTTACTAAAGCAGAGCTTTCCAAGAGCATCACGATTTCAAATTTAGATAGCACGTCTTACTAGGTTCAGTCTAGTTTATCAGAAGCAAAGCTAAAACAAAGTGAGTATTATCCTTCTATTTAAATTCACCTTTTAAAGTATTCTTCCTGCAGACTACTGTTTGTGGTTTAGCTACTTGATTTGCATGAAACAGACACAGACTTTTCTAGTAACTAGCATCCTGATTAAAATTTCCTGTAGTCTGAGAACAAGAATTTTACATGGTGCTTGTCAGTTTAAAATCTCTTGGCTTCTATGAAGGCTAACATGCCAAAACAACTAGGAAGTAGACTAAATTTCAGTAAAGACACTGAATAGAAAAGGTCCTCTTCTCAATAGGAGAAGAGCTTCACAGAACAAAAGCTCTGTTTCCTGTAGGGTTCCCTACATACTTGTTCAGTGATTGCAGGCTTTGAGTGGTCCCCTCAGGTCCAATATCGCACAAGTGTTGTGGTTCAGAAAGTACCTTCACTTACCTTCCATCTTGTGCCCGCAGGAAACCTACTTCAGTGTCAAATAAACCCCCACTGAAGCATCCCCGACTCATGCCGGTAGGACTATCCCATTGTGGCTGTCCCTGTACTCGGCTCTGGTGAGGCCACACCTCGAGTACTGTGTTCAGTTTTGGGCCTGCAAGAAGATCCAGGTGCTCGAGCGTGTCCAGAGAAGGACAACGAACCTGGTGAGGGGTCTGGAGAACAAGTCTTACAAGGAGCGGCTGAAAGAGCTGGGATTCAGTCTGGAAAAGAAGAGGCTCAGGGGTGACTTTATCGCACTCTATAGATACCTTTAAAGGAGGCTGTAGCAAGGTGGAGGTTGGTCTGTTCTCCCACGTGCCTGCCCAGATGCCACCCCTACCCCTTCAGGACCCCCAGCAGGGAATAGGATAAGGGAGCCCTTCTTATTTACCCCCAAAAGGATCCCTCCGATTAAGTATGTACCGCATTCCCTTCTGCCGGGGGAGCGCTAGGCAGTGCTATTTTTTCATGATCTAACTAAACTCGCAGGAGGGCCACAAGGGGGTTCCCACCTTCTTCTTTCTCCTGCTCCACATTATTTTCATCTCCCGATCGAGCCTCCTCCTTCGCCTGCCCTGACCCCTCCTTTAGATTGTTATTTACCGGCAGCTCCATAGGAGCCCGCTTATCCTCACCGTCCCCATCAGACAAAAGCATGCGGTGCACAGCAGCCCACAGGCATGTCACGTTGACTACCTTTTCCAAAACCGCTCGCACCGACCCATACGTCGGAAATAAAGTCAGCGCCTCTTTGTTCCCGATACAGGCGCTATCAAATAAATCCCGTCCCACTGTTTCTAAAACAGTCTGTCTCAAGCAATGGACAGGAGACTCTGCCAGATTCCGGCGTGTCACCCAGAGCAAGAGGGAGTGTACGTCCTTCTTTCGTAGTGTTATCCCTACTTCCTTGGCCAAGGATTTAACAGTACTCACCACCTCGTCGACTCTAGGCCCCATGGCCACCTGCGTACCTAGCATGTACACACCACGCCTAACTTGCGCCAACCGGTTTCACGTTGAGAATCGTATCACATCGGGGTCACCAAATGTCGGATAACCCGACCAAAAGGCCCTGGGACAAACGGACACAACGACCAGCATTCTGTGCCATAAGCCCAATTTATTGCTACGTGACAGTATCTTACATAGCGCCAAAGCGTCCCACCCAGGAACCCAGGACCCCTCCCACTGTGCTTGCAGGCACCCCAGACCCTTCCCCTTGTGCACGCAGGCACGACCCAGAATAACCCCACAACGGGAGATAGGATGAGGAGGAATGGGCTAAAGTTGTGCCAGGGGAGGTTTAGGATGGATATTAGGAAAAGCTTCTTTACCAAAAGGGTTGTTAGGCATTGGAATGGGCTGCCCAGGGAAGTGGTTGAGTCACCGTCCCTGGAGGTCTTAAAAAGACATTTAGATGTAGAGCTTAGTGATATGGTTTCGTGGAGGACTTGTTAGTGTTAGGTCAGAGGTTGGACTAGGTGATCTTGGAGGTCTCTTCCAACCTAGATGATTCTGCGATTCTGAAAATCCAGAAACAGTACAATGCTTGGAAGAACTTAACCTGTGGAGGAGAAGGGCCGTCTCTTGTTAGGCAACAAGTTTGAAAGGCTGGTTTCCCCACCCCCCTGTGCATTTTGAAGAAGGCAGTCTCTAATCTGATGCAATCTAAATGAATCTAAGCTGTAGTTTGTTATTTCCATAAGCTGTAAATGAACTTAATGTGTTTTTTAAATTGAGGCTTGTGTGCATGCGTTTGGCTTGTCCCAATAGCTGTTGTGGATGATGGCTCACGTGTCCAAAGACTCCTTGTGCTGATGTTGGATCTGTCCCTTGGTAAAGGAACGCATCCCATGTGTTCAGCTTTTCTTCCTTACCATGTCGTATTTATTTATTTGTTGTTCTGAAAGAAAGGGTGGAATTTTCATTTGTCTCTCTGTGAGCGTTTCTAATCAGGCTGCTGTAAATACATGTAAGTGAGTAGGCTGCAGCGCATACTGGACAGTATCGGAGTGGTACTCTGCTAGCAGTGTAGAGCCAGGTGAAGGTGTCCAGGGTAAGGGCTTGTTCTGCCTCAAGTTGAACGGAAAGTTTGAGAAGTTGAGCATCCCGGGGGATGTTTGTAGGACTATTGTTAGACAATAAAAGTTCAGATGGCTGTCGACGAAGGGGATTTTGTTGGCTCTTTTAGATAGCTGTTCCTGTCGAAGATTGCATTGGTCACAAAAGGTAGTAGTAACCTTGCAGTTTCTATGTTCTGTAGCGTCTGTAGCAAAGTACACTGGCAGATGAATAAATGAGCAGGTACAAATACATGTGACCCTATAGCTGAGATAAAATAACGTGCAGCTTCTTCTTTGTCTTATCTTTCAAAGCACGTTGTTGCTGAGCGACTGAGCTTTTTGCTCTTGTTACTGAGGAAAGGAATGGCTGTGCTTCTTCCCCTCTCATCCCTCTTTTTTTTTCTTTTTTTTTTGTTTTCTCTCCTCTTCTCCCTCGATGACAGGGACTCGAAATGTTTTCCTCAGATGTCCACGTGAAAATTAAAAATTAAAGAAATGCTGATGGAGAGCACTGACAGAATTGGGTGACATTTTCAAGGTAGAGGAGGGCGAAGAATGTGGAAATTCCTAGTACGTCAGTGGTGCTCTGTTAACAAAACTGATGTACACACCACTTGCTGTTTCTAATTTTTTGGTTTGGTTTTCCTTTCAGTAGTCTCCCCAAAGACTTTTGTGGACACATTGTGTATCTTTTCTGTTCTTCCAGTATTCATCTGTCAGGAAAGACGACCATGAAATCCGAGGGCTGTGGACAACCATCTACAAGGTAGTTGTTGCAGACACCTTCAGTCATGTTATTTGTGCTGTTAGCTTGCCCTTTCCTTTATATTGAGTTGAATTTTTTTGCAGTGCTATGTTTGCAGTGATAGCATTGCTGCCAAGGTATTTTTAATTAAAACGATCTTAACTGTAGTAGTTAATTTACGGAGTGTGGCTTTGTGTAATGACTCCCATTGAAGAAAGCTTCTTCAATGCTGTATGTTTTCTTTAAAAGGTGAATATTAGTTTAATGTGCAGTTACTTCAGGCAGTTATTCCACAACTGCCCAAAGCAGTGACAGTGAGAAGCCCACTTCCAGCAGCTGTTCCCAACGCAGGGATGGATGCAGGGATGGATGGACACTGTTCGATGCCTTGCCCACCAGGGGAAGGGGAGAATGACTGGGCAGGGAGCCCCACCGCAGCCCCCCCTCTCTCCTGGGAATCCTGACAGCAGTTTAATAAAGTTTGCTTTCTGGCCCGTGTCCCCTTTGGTTGTGGCCAGCTCCAGGAAGTGGCCGTCCAGTGTGTGTGGGTGCAGGTTCGGTAGTGGGGTGGGTGTGGAGGGGGCAAGGGGCTGGGGGGTTGGCCTCGTGTCGGTCACAGCCCCCTGCTGTCTTTGCTCCCCAGGCCAGGGGGGGACTGCTCTGTGGGGCGGGGACTGCTTGTGGAGGCGCAAGTGTGTGTGGAGGCTGGGGGTTTCTGACAGGACCCCCAGGGCAGGGGAGGGTGTTGGGGAGGCCGGGTGCTGCGGAATTGGCAGCCAAGCCAGGGAAAGTCCATGTGGGGATGGCCGGGGGTGGCAGGCACGGGTCTGTGGGCACTGGGCTGCAGGACGGGAAGCCTGACGGTGGCTCTGCGGTGTTCAAGCCGCTGCTTGCTTCTCCCGGAGCAAGCTGGGAGTTGTGGTCGGTGGGCTCTGAACATCCCATTGGTCACATTGGGTTTGCTATTATCTCCCTGCCTTTTTGTCCTGGTAGAAAAAGTATTGTTTCAGGTTACTGTCGTGCAACTTCCCAGCTTTGAGCCGCACGTTGCTCAGGGCAGATACTTCTTCCCCGACGCGTCGTGGGGTGCAAATTTCTGCTGCTTTCCTTTGTGCTTTCTCCGGGAAAACGGTCTGGGAAGCCATGCCTGCCATACTCGGGACGCCACCTACTGGTGGGAATTGGGTACTGCAGGCAGCGCCGCGCATGCACCTTGGCACCCGCCCTCTGCCGCCACCAGCTGCTGGAGAGTGGGTACTGCAGGTGGCACTGCGCATGCGCAATAGTGTGTTATAAATGGCTCAGGATTCAAATCAGGATTAAATAAAAAAATAGGATTTATTAGAAGAATATAAAGGAATAGAGGTAAGCAAACAGCGCTGGGTGCACCGGGAGTCTCCGCTTCACCAGGACGCACACCAGTTACATCAAGCAGCTGATTTTTATGCTCCTAGACTAATACATATTCATTACTACTTCTAAAAAAAATAGATTATTATAATTAGCTTCCGGGGTCCAGTCCCTCCTACTGGAGCATGCGCATCAGTCTCCTCTGGGGGTCTCTAGGGGTCTTTCATGCTGAAGACTCGTAGTCTTCCTCTCACCTTTGTACTCACTCGGCACAATTCCAAGTTTATAGAACACTTTCTGCAGGTCTTGTCTCCCAACTGTCCTTCAGCTTCTTTTTCCTTCCTCTTAATCTCTCGGCCCCCTGGCCAGATACCAAAGATCCACATAGTATCCCATAACAGTCACTAGTTGTTATCAGTTGTTCTGAAACTCCCAGACATCAAACACAAACAGCTTTCTTATTTGACGCTTCACGAGTAATTAAAACATTCTTCCCCAGCCATTCACAGACACATCTATAGCAGTGTTAGGTTAATCTCAAAGAAGACAGGAAAAAAGGCTGTAACTGTTAGAAATAGAAGTCCGGAATAACAAAAGCAAACAGGTTCATAAATTTAAGGAGTGTTTTCTGAAGACGTGATAAATTGACTAGAATGAGGGGGAGACTGGGACACACTGCATCTGTGGTTCAAGAATTAAATTGCCGGTGCAGGGCCCAGAGGCAGACAGGATTCAAACAGAATTGTTCTTTATGGACACGAATTGAAATTGTTAAAACATTCCTCACAGTGCAAGCGGGCGCAATCTGCCGCCATCTCGTGGTTGGAATTGTGTACTGCAGGCGGGGCGGTGCTGCGCATGCGCGGCGTCGCACGTGGGCGCCATCTGCTGCTGAGAATTGTGTACTGCAAGCGGCGCTGCTCTGCGCATGCGCAGTGGCGCCGCGGGTGCCGTCTGCCGCCGCCTGCTGGTGGGAAGTGCGTACTGCAGGCGGAGCGGCGCCGCACATGCGCTGTGGCGTCCGCGGGAGCCCTCTGATTCCACCTGCTTATTACATTTTTTTTTTTTTTTTTTTTTTTTTTGATGTGTAATATCAGATTTTTCTTCCTATGTTAAGAAAGAGTTTGAGCTAATTCCAGTTAAAAATAATTCAGTTACTTGCTTGGTCATATTGTCCTTTCAATATTAAAAGCTGCAGCAAAAGCATGGTGTTTGTTGCTTCTAGAGAAACCCCAGTTCTTTTGTCTGCACTCTGCATGTTGTTCACATAACCTAGGGAAAAAAAATAAACGAAAGAACAAACAGTAAAAAACACAGGTGCTCCTCCCGCTCTCTTCCTACTTTCTTGTGCTTTGCCCCTCTCCTTTCCTAGGTGATTGGGTTTGGGTGCTGGGTGGGACCAAAAGGGATATAAGCCCCAGGCATGCCATCAGAAAGCTCCTTCTGCCTGGGCTGCTCTTTGGGGTAAGTGCTTTGTTTTTCCTTCAGTCAGTTGCAGGGTTCTCTAGGCAGGCTGGAGTCTATGTATTTCTACATTTTTAAGTGCTTGGAATTCACTTAATAGAGGGATATTTAGCACAGTTTGCTAAAGAGGTTCTTTAGGTGGGTCAGATCCTATGGACTGATGTGTTTCCAAGTAGAGACCCGTAAGCCCATCTTTTTGAGGTGGTGACTAGTAGGATCTGTGATAGTAAAGCAATCTAGTAGTAGGTGCCTGTATTACATGCAGCGCTTCTTCAGGTAAGCAATTGTTATAGCATGTTTATGGATAGGATGATGATGTTACTTTGTGTGTTTACTTTGTGGTTCTAGGTCCCTTAAGATTTTTGCAGAACTATAGGGCGTATGCTACGTAGTATGCTATCCAGTACATTGCATATCCAGTACATTGATTCTGATCAGGGCACACACTTTACTTCTAAAATAATAAAATTATTATGTCAATCATTAGGTATTCGGTGGGAATACCATACTCTGTGGCACTCACAAAGCTCAGGGAAAGTAGAAAGAATGAATCAAATGATAAAACAATTGGCTAAGTTAATAATGGAGACACAAATGCGCTGGACAAAATGCTTACCATTGGCACTTTTAAACGTAAGAACTAAACCACACAGTGGGACTGGATTATCGCCATATGAAATGTTATATGGTATGCCTTATTCTCAAGGGATGCCTCTAGGGAACAATGTAGTTGAGGATCGTATCATCCAGAAATACGTAAGTACTATTGGAGATTACAAGAGCTAAGAGAAATTGGAATGATGGCTCAAACACCACCTTTAGGATTTGCTATACATAAGATACAACCGAGAGACAAAGTCTTAATAAAAACCTGGCGGGAAGCATCATTGAGCCCCCAGTGGGAGGGACTATACCTTGTTTTACTTACTCCTGAAACAGCTGTGAGAACAGCAGAAAGGGGTTGGACCCACGCATCCAGAGTAAAGGGACCAATAACTACCGAAGCTTGGAGGGTTGAGTCCACTCCTAGGGAACTGAAACTAAGGCTAAAGAGGGACTAATATTCTGGCAACGAGACTGTGCATGAATTAAGGGCACCAGACAAAGGGGACAAGCCTGAAGGGAGGAAGGGGAGAAGGCAAGACCTGGGGCAGGACCCTCCACTGCGGTGTGTATGGTCTACCAAGGGAGGCAACCCCTATGGGTATTGACTGCTGAGTGAGAAGGCCTCGACCGGAGTTCTCCTGCACTAGGGTCAGGTTGTCCCGAGAAAATAACATAAGAACCTATTTTTTTAAACCCATATAAAATTGTGATTTGTTTTCCAGGAGCTGGATCACCCTGACAGGCTGAACAGTAACACAAGCCCGAATTGACCCTGAAAGCAGGCCTAACCCCTTGATTGAAGGTGTTTGCCTATTATGATCCAGCTACATGGGCAGAAGACGAATCCTGGGGCTATAGGACCCCAATATATATGCTTAATAGAATAATTAGGTTACAAGCTGTAATAGAAGTAGTTGTAAATAAAACCAGAGACGCACTTGGATTAATTGCAAAGCAAAATACCAAGATGAGAACTGCTTTGTATCAAAATCGCTTAGCCTTGGATTATTTACTAGCACAAGAAGGAGTCGTCTGTGGAAAATTTAACCTTGGTAATTGCTGTTTAGAAATTGATGATGGTGTTTCTTCCTAGTAGCTGGTAGAATGCTATGTTCTGGCTTAGGATTAGAAGAGTGCTGATAACATGCTGATGTTTTAATTGTTGCAGAGCAGTGCTTACACCAAGCCAAGGGTGTTTCAGCTTCTCACTCTGTCCTGCCAGCGGGCAGGCTGGGAGTGCAGCAAACTCGCCAAAGGGGGAGGAGGGCCGGACTGCTTGGGGTTAGGCTGGGCATCAGTCAGCGAGTGGTGAGTGTTATAAATTAGACCACACAATTTACTGGTCTATTGAAATTATTTTATTAATCAAGTAAGCAGACACAAGCAAAACAGCGCTGGGTGGCTGGGGAGTCTCCGCTCCGCAACAGCACGCAACTTCCCTTTTCCAGGGTTGCTGTTTTATAGCAGTTGAATGCTGGCTTATCAGGACTTGTTGAACTGGCTGAGGCTGCACAGTCTATTGTTGAGAGAGAGGGTCGTTATTCCTCTGCTTCGTGTTCAGGTGGGAGTAGTGAAGCGGCAAAAAGGATGTCTTGTGGTAAGGAATTTCACAGAGTCTGGTTTAACTCAAGGATGTTCACCCAACACCCCCTCCTGCTTCCTCCCTTATCAAGGCCATTAAATTTTACAACCTTCCCTCCCCAACAGATTCTCCAAATTCCTCAAAGACAATGAACAAACCCTCACTAATTTATCACAATCCCCCCTTTTTCTTTTTCTAACATATTTTGTTCATTGAATTTTTGCATTATTTGCTTGCTGAGCATCAAAGTTTCTGTGTTGTCCTTCTCCTGCTCAAGAGATTCATACTTAGCATGCATGAGCATAAGTTGAGCAGCTTCTAATCGACTTTTTACAATTGCAATTACCCTATTGAAAATACATGGCCCAAAAGTCAGTGCTATTATTATTATTAATAAAGGTCCCGCTATAGTTGACAATAGTGTGGTAAGCCAAGGTGAATAATTAAACCAGGATTCATACCAATTCTGATGAGCCTCATTTTCCCTTTTGCGCTTTT